GCCAGGGCTCTGGCACCCTCACACCAAACAAGTTCTTCCTCACATGCACATGGAGCTGCCTGGGTTTCCACTTGCACCCATTGCCCCGTCACTGGCCACCCCCAASATGAGTTTYGTCCCCCTCYTCCCTACATTCTCCCCTCTTCTACCTGGCYTGAAAGCCCCTGTTTGCTACCTGTGGCACTGGAGCTCTGGAGCAGCCGGACTGCACCAGTGCAGGACACAGTCACACCACACTCCCACTTCTTTGGAACACCCCATTTATTTCCAGCTTCCGTGAACAAGGAACACATTACTACATGTGGACTTTTGCCTAAGAGGAAGTTTAACAACAGGAACGGGAGAAACATTCCACAGCGTTAGTTGTAGGTCATGTAGCGGGGGGTAGCGCTGAATTTCGCGTACGATTTAATGACTTTGTTGACGGCCTCCAGGAAGTCCTTCTCGGTGGCGATCTTGCGGCGCGCGCGGATGGCGAACATGCCGGCCTCGGTGCACACGCTGCGGATCTCGGCTCCTTCCAAAGCAGGGGACAAGTGAGCTCAGAGTCCCCACGCGCCGCAACGAGGCACATGGAATGGCTTAGAAAAGCCCGGCTTACCTGTGCTGTTAGGACACAGCCGAGCCAGCAGCTCAAACCTGATGTCTCTCTCAACGCTCATGGAACGCGCGTGGATCTTGAAGATGTGAGTTCTGCCCTGGAAAAGATGGGAGGACAGAAGTGTTCACCCTATGGAAAAGATCTGAGCGGCTCTCAGCGTGTCTGTCTCCTCCAGAGCAAGGACAGGTGGAAAATACAACTCTTGGTTGTTGCCCAGCTCCCATTTCCTATGTTTGGAGTAGGATGTTTGAGCAATGGAAAACTATGCGTTCCTGAAGCAATTAAGGAAACAGCCAGAAGAGCTTTCATGTCAGAAGTGCCAAAAGAAATCTCGCTCAAGAAACCAAACTAACCACACTCCAGCTTCAGAAAAAAGCACGGAGCAGGTTAAAGGATTCCTTATCTGTTGAGCTAGAAAAGTACAGTGAATATAGTGTTTTCCATGGCTTCCCCAACAGAGATGGACTCCCTACTATGTGGGAAAGCCTCTCAGAAGCAGCTTTAATCCCCTAGATTTCTAGGCACGTTGCACACGATGGTGCCACGTTCGTTAACTCTTCTAAACTGCCTCCAGACAATGAGCGAAGGAAAGCTCTCGTGTCTGCACACACACAAYGGGAAAAGGGAAGAGCTCTGACCTCGGGGTCCGGCAGGCTGAACTCTATCTTCCTGTCGAGCCTGCCAGGCCTCATGAGCGCTGGGTCCAGGGTGTCGGGCCTGTTGGTGGCCATCAGCACCTTGATGTTGCCCCGGGGATCGAAGCCGTCGAGCTGGTTGATGAGCTCCAGCATGGTCCTCTGCACCTCGTTGTCGCCGCCRGCGCCGTCATCGAAGCGGGCGCCTGTGGACACCCCACGGACACCACACACCGTGGGCATGAGTGGGGGACACGTCCTGGCCTCGGGGTGCGGCCACTCGCAACCCGTGTTTGTGACAGGTTTAAAAAGGGGGAGGGGATGSTCTCGAGATGTTTCAACCCAAAGGAATCTGCATTTGCATCGGTTGCTCTGCACTAAACACCCCTCCCAAACATTACAGRACTCATCTCCCTGCCTGGTACCTCACCAAGCTGGGGAAACATGAATATATTTGGTTTTTTTTCCCTCYCCTCAATCAAAATCTTCCCCCATTTGCCTGTGTGAAAACTGCTCTGCTCCCCAAGGGCTGCAGTACTTCCCCTGGGGACACCAACCCCCTGATTTTCAGGCAATATGAAGGCCAGAAGCAGGTTTAAGCTAGCAGTACTTTTTCTAAGCTAAATTTTAAATTGTACAGCTAAAATTGAAACCTCAAGGCTGTTCCAAATATACAGAAACTTTCTCAGCTGGGCTAAGGATTTTCAAGCTACATAAAYCACTTTCTGATAATTTCTCAAGCAGCAGATATGTCCATACTGCTAGTGGTTTTGCTAAGCATTCAGATAAAAAAGAGAATCCCAGAATTACAATATGAAAAGGCAGTTGGGAAGGCTGTCATACAAGCCTGGAGCTGTGCGTGCCACACACGTACCTCCAATGGCATCAATTTCATCGAAGAAAATGAGACAGGCTTTTTTAGTCCTAGCCATTTCAAAGAGTTCACGAACCATTCGGGCTCCCTGGAAGCAACATGAGATCTTGTTAAGGCCCATTCAAGGGAAGGCATCAAAACCAGCCTTCTCACACTTCCAAACCATTCTACATTTCCCGTGATAAAACACTTATCTGAGCACGTATGAATTATCAGCCATTCATAAACCCGAGGGCAGTTTGCAAAGGAGAGACACTCTCATGATGCAGGAGGAGCAGGGGAGCATCCAAGTGAACCAGGACCAAGTGCACATGACACAGCTGAGAACAGAATCCTACCCTCCTGTCCTCCCAAATCACAGCTTATTTCCATTCTGCAAGGAACTGCCATCCTGCAGTGCTCTGCCACCATCCCTGGTATCTCCAGCATGCAAGAACCTGCACCCATCCCTGTCACAAGGGTGCCAGGCCTCTGCAGGCGGGAAGCCCCCAGCAGCTCTTACCTCCCCCACGTATTTCTGCACCAGTTCAGACCCAATGACTCTGATGAAACAGGCGTCAGTCCTGTTGGCAACAGCCCGAGCACAGAGCGTTTTGCCTGTTCCAGGTGGCCCGAACAACAGGACTCCCTTGGGAGGCTCGATTCCCAGGTTAACAAATCTTTCAGGCTGTAATGGTGGTAAAAAAAGGAAAAGCAAGAAAATCAGTGACAAGAAASTGATACCAGCCAATTGATACCATTTGTTAAAGCAGTTATGCCCATTTTCACTTAGCTGTCTGCATTCAGCTACACTGCAACAAGAAAAGAAAACGAGAAAATAAGAGGATGATCAAAATCATAATAAGAAAAGCATCAATCTGGAGGTTGCTTACATGAAGCAGGGGGGTTTCAACCACTTCTCTCAGCTTTTCAATCTGCTCTTTACAACCACCCACATCACTGTAAGTGACATCAGGTTTCTCTTCTACCTGTGTAGCAGAAAGGGGAGAGATCAGCTGAACAACCTGATGCAGCCTCTTCTCTCCAGCCTTTCAACAGACCATCCCAAAATGCAGCCACAGGAATCAAGATTACAAAGTGGATAAATGCAATGATAGGTAAAGGCAGCTCTCACTTGCATCATGGTGACTGTGGGATCAATCTTTGGAGGCAAGGGAATGTGGATCTGATACTTGTTTCTGTCCACCCTGGTGAGAAGACAACAATATTATATTGGCRCCTGTTAATTAAAGGTCATGAAGAAACAATTTCAATTTTGAAAAGGTTGAATTCTTAAATTGCTATATTCTCTGGCATTGAGGGAGCCCAGCCCTAAAAGCCAACACTCTGAGCTAGAAACTAGAACTCCTGTTTGGCAGGAAAGCACAAGAGYTCCAAAAATATTAATTTMAAAGTATTYTGAAAATTAAACCTCACAATATTCMACTGARCAAATGGGAAAAATATTGACTCTAAAAATCCAAAAGGACCCTCTTGTCCTCCTATGCAAACGTTCTTGCAGACACCCTGTGCCCACATAGACTGCCCAAGAGCCAGGGTCCCTGAAGCTCTTGTCACACTTTAGGTCTGAGCTGCCTTTGTTTGCTTCTTGTTTTCCTCAGAATGAAACCCTCCCGGCGGGGCACGCAGCTTTCTGGAAGCTGTTCTCTAATCACCAGATTTTGTAAATACAATTCCCACCACTGAAGAAGAGTTGAAGACAGCTGTTGCCATGTCAAAGTGATGGATCACATGAGAAAGAAATGAGAAAGACTGAAGCTAACACCGTTGTGTTGACTTCACTCACCCAACTCTCATGCCTTCTTCTATGTCAGTAGGTGCCACCTGGTCACTGAGATCCACCACAAACTTAGCAAACTGCTTGACATTGATAATGTACTTGGGATCCTCGGAGTCTGCATTGATTATCTTTGTACACCTGGCACAGGACAGACAATTAACACCMCGAGGTAAACGAGAAAACTGCCTTGTTATTTGCAGAAGCCTCAGGRAAACAATGTTAGAAAGAGCCTGTACATTCTCCAAACGTGTTCAAATAGTTATTGGGATTCTGTTATAGTATCACGAATCTGTTGGAGGAGTAACTAGAAGTCTACACATAAGTTACTAGCCTTATATTTATACGGCTGAGGAGCTGTGCTGGAAATAGGGACCGTGCACCTACCTTGCAACCTGYAAAGGCTGCTCACTTTGCAGAGTTTGCTTGTCTGCAGCAAGATCCCAGAGGGCTGGAGGAGCCAGGCCGGTGTCCGACTCCTTGATCCCTGCACAGAGCACAGACGAGCTAAGGGAGAAGCCCCCAGCTTCAGCAGTCCCTCCTTCACCCTCCAAGCACCGGTCACAGAAACCTGCAGGAACCTTTCTGAGATCATACACACATGCCCCCACACACACACAAAAAAACCTACTAGATTCTCTTAAAAAAAGACCCAGTTTCCAAAAGAAATAAGGCACCAGTCTCTCCATCCTCTGGAAAGAAATGAACAGCGTGTGGACTATCCCAACCAAGTAAATATCTCAAGGATAACTGTGTTTCCCAAAGTGTTAGAAAATAAAAATCACTTTGCAAGTGATTTCACTGAGAGAAAAGCTTTAGTGCAGGATACTGGAAACTAGGGAATTCACAGGGTTGGAAAAATATAAACCTTCCAAGTCACGGGTATGAGAAGCACGATTTCCACCACACATGAAAAAAAAAAACACAAAAGGGATAGAAAAATAGAGAAGAACAGGATAAGAAAGAATAATTCTATTTGGTCTTCTAGGCAGGTCTTCCACATTGATTTTAAACACTGAGTTTTCTGACAGTCTTTTCTTCCTTACCAAGGGCCAGCACCACTAGCTACGTGGTGTTTTTCTGCAGCCTGTTCAAGGTCAATCACCACTAAAGTGCAGTTTGATGCACCTCACAACTTAATGAGGGACACAATGAGGGAAAAAGCCATTTGTTGCCTGGTGCTTTATCACATGTACAGATTACCTAGCACTGATTAGGGTCTGTAAAAAGATCACAACCTATAAAGCACAAGTTCTGTGAAAACCATATAAAGAAATACAGCCTTTTTTTGGAAAAACAACAATAAACTAATGCAGTTGTTCAGAAGTCAGCTTCTTAAAACATTTAGATACAGATTTAGATTTAAATATATATATATAGCTCTTCTATTGAAACTTAGCTTAAGAAGAAAGGGTACCTGTAAGCTCATTGATTTTCTTAAGAAGTTGCTGAATGTCATCTTCTACTTGCTTGATCTGCCTTGAGTATGTGCTCTGGCCCTGGAATACAAGAGTCACTGCACAGSCCTCATAACGCAGATTATGTTCAGGAAAAAAACATCAATAGTCACTTAATAACAAAAGGCTCCTTAGATTATCAGGATCTATCTATAACTAAATCCCATCGGGATTACAAACAGCTATTGACCACAGCCAAAAAGATAGCAGAGAGCTCCAGCAACAACTTATCTGTCCATCAAAAATATGGAGTTACCAAGTACTGTGACACAATTCTGACCACTGCTCACGTGGAAAATTTTCCTCTCTCGAAGCACCAGGGATTTGTATTTCCTTTTAAAACTGTTCAGCCCCTTTTTCCTTTTTTTTTTTTAATTTTCTAAAGCTAAAAAAAATATTTAAGCTACACACAGAAAAGGTTCCATATGCATTATCCAAATATCATGGGAATGCAAAATTGAAAAAAAAATTTTTTWAATTAAAACTGTCCCCACTGTCCACAGAATACAGCACGAAGATCATGGGGCAAACTGCTAAATCAGAAGCCTCATAAAATGTTCACATTTGATAGACTGCTTTACTAGAGTGTCCTGCAGAAAAGCCCCGGATTTCACTTCCAGGAATTCCTTCAGATCAGTTTGGCAGCAAAGGAAGCCACAGAGGTCACTGAGTCCTCCCACAGTTCCAGAGTTTTGCAAAGGACTCCTGGTCTCATTAAAACTCAGACTCCTGGCAAACATTTTCAAATCAGGAATCCACTGACCTGCAAACCTCATTTTTATGAGCTGCTCTTTCACAGASAGCAGCACTTGCTGGTGGAGGGAGGAATTTGCTTTTTAAGAACGTGCAACAGGCCTCCCAAGATCACATTATCCATGGATAATACCCGTGTACCTCCACTAACAGGTGGAGCTGATAACAAGCAACTTTGCCAGGGAGGACGGGTCTTAAATATATCATTTCTTACAAAATAAGGCAAAGAGTTGGTCAGAGAAAGAACATGACAAGAGCAGTGGCCGTTTGGCCTCTATGGCAATCTGCTACATTAAAAGAATTAAAAAATAATAAAAGAAAAACTTCCTTATTCCCTGGCTATCAATACTACTGAATTACCTATAGGCTTTGGGATTTCTTTCCTCCTCAGGAATGGAAACAGAGAAAAGGTTTCAGCAGGGCAGAAAGGCAGTAAGAGAAGTAGATTTACTAACTACTCCCTAAACAAATATCCCTGCACACTCTGATATGGAATTCACAGCTGAAGTTGAACATTTTTTTTAACACTCTCCATGGACTTACGTAGGTTTTCAGCAAGGCAATGTCCCCTTCATCCAACGCTGAAAAGAAGACAGATAGGGCTCAGCGTCAATTAAAAAAAAACAGCAGGAGTAAATTTGCTTCTAAACGTGAAAATATACATTTTAAAGAGATTATTTTAAGGTTATAGCCTTGCACTAAAATAAAGTAAACCCATGAAGTATTGGATAAACATTAAAGARACATAAAGCAGGGTTTTGATCCAGAAGGAGTAGCTGGAGGCCTCTGTATGGCCACAGATTGACAGGCTGTTCAGAGCACAGCCTGTTAAATTTAATAAAATTTAAGCAGCTGATCGACGTGTGACAGTGCAGAAAAGAAACTGATGGCAAAACTTTACCTTTTAGACTTCAAGTGTTAAAAAAAACCACACAATTAAAATAGAAAATGTTCAACACTTTCTTCTCATTCAGAAATGCCCTTCATGAGTGGAGAGAAGCAACCGCACCAAAGCTGGACTCAGTAACTGTCCCRTGGATCCTGCATCCCCCCTGCTACCTAACGAGAAGCTACTGGAAAGATCAGAGATGGACACAGCCCGGAACCAGTAACTACTGGTAACTACTACTAACCAGTAACTACTACCAGATAACACTGAGCTGTCATATTCTAAAACGCATAACTTCATAATGATGATTATAGGTTAAATGAGTAGTTCTATCATCAAATATCGTCTCTCCAACGAGAATGGCCAAAAAYGCGACTAATACCCAGCGCCACCCCCGCCACCGCAGGGGTGACATTTGTCATTATCAGCTCCTCAATTGCTTCCTTTCTGTGAGGATCTGTGGAAACACTTTGCATCGCTGTGAACTCTGAGCCACTTGTGGCACAGGGGGAATCCTCTGGTTTAATCGGGAACTTGGCCTCCTTCACGTGTGTTGAACCTTCCTTCCCGTGTATTTGAGGACGTCACGCGGCCCTGGGAATTCCTGCATGGCAGCCAGCAGACACCCAATTCACGGGTTTCAGCACCAAACCCCGTGGCTGGGACTCCCGTGGGGGCTTCCTTCCCGTGTATTTGAGGACGTCACGCGGCCCTGGGAATTCCTGCATGGCAGCCAGCAGACACCCAATTCACGGGTTTCAGCACCAAACCCCGTGGCTGGGACTCCCGTGGGGGCTCCAGGGTCCCTGGGACTCCCGTGGGGGCTCCAGGGGGCTCAGTTAGGAGCAGTTTATCTCCACGTTTACCTGAACAGGCCTTTGGCGTCCGCCCCCTCCTCCCCAAGTCACCCTGTTTGCAGACGCGGCCTCGTCCTCATCCCATCATCCCTGGTCCTGATCCCGCCATCCCTGGCACTCACACGTTATGTTTCCTACTCCTGCTCTGCCCGTTTGCAAGGAAGGGCACAAAACGGGCCTCGCTGGGGGTCTGGCTACGACCCGAGCTACCCGCCGCTTCGGCGGGKCCTTTTCCGTGGCGGCTCCCTCCCTTCCCGGCCATTCCCGCCGCTCCCCGGGCACTCCGAGCAGGGCACGGCCGCGGTGTGACACCCCCCCTGCGGGGGCCGCAACGGGACCCCCTTTCCCGTCACCGTCGGGAGCCACGGCGCCGGGGGCGGTTAACCCCGTTTCTCCCCGTTTCCCCCTCGTT